CGAGAGGAGCACATACCGCAATTAATTGATTTACAGACAAATTAGAAATTGAGGCCTTAAGATTTTACAATTAACTATAATTTAAAATCCCTTCTCAAACTTAGAATAATTTAAAGAGGATTTTTTACTATTTAAATATTTATGCAATTCTAAATTAATCATATGTAAATGCAATAATTAATTAACATGCATAAATAAATATATAATTCCAAATTAATCCCATGTAAATATAATAATTAATTAACATGCATAAATAAATAAATATATAATGGCATAATAAATTTACATATATAAATAAATCCGCTACTATGGCCATTAATTATTGAGTTCCCATAAACAAGGAAACTTTGTATATTCTTTCTCTGTTCAACTGGAACTCTCACAGCAGTAGAATCCTGGTAGATCTCGTTTGCTTGGTCAACAAGTAAACCTCTCCACCTCAGTTGCCGCCCGCGCCATCTCACCGCTGGCTACTGCCGCCGATGGTCGAAAAAATAATTTTTTTTTCTTTTTTATTCGCGCGTCCTTCCGGGCTCCGGTCCAGTTGGATTTTAGAGGCTCGTTGATCTCTTGTGATATCTCGGTAATTAATCCACGATCACAACACAACAAATATAATATACAAAATTACATAACTCGATCATAGATCCAACGAATAGATGTACATTTTTTTTTAAACAAAATAATTAAATCTATCTGGTCAACCCCGGGCAGATAATTATTACATATATTCATCCATAAAATTCCTCGACATGTCCGAGGCTTGTAAAAAAAATTTAAAACTTACATCACCATCAACAACATTCATCAAACACATAGTCGGTCATAATAGTGGATTAAACTAATTCATGCAAAATTGAGTTATGCGAATATAATCCATTAAATGGCTGCGTTTGAACACACCTTGTCAAATTAAGCCGTAAAATTTGAATTAGTACAAAACGAATTAAACCAAGTGCTCTAATACCACTAGTTGGGATCTATGAGGATCGCGTTATGTACAATCACAAATTCAATAGTAAAACATAAACCTATGCGCATCGGATCTAAAGATTTGCGTAGAGAACTTACGGCATAAAGTTTTTGGTGATCTGGCTGATCTTCCGGATGGTAATACAAATACACGAATTGGATTGGATCAGGAACGGAACATCGGGATCACAATCGGATCGCGTGGACAGGCTGGCCGGGTCAGGATCGCGGGTCGCGGGCGGCGCGTGGTGATCGTCTCCGTCGGGTGGATGTGGCTTACGGAGGTGGCGTCGTGGGTCGCGGTGGTGCTCTGACCGGTCACGGCGGCGGTCCGGTTCGTCTGCGGCGGTCCTCAGGCTTGGCTCGTAGATCGTCGATTGTTGTACAAGATTATTGTGTCTCGAACACCTATTGATCTTCTACTGTAAATCTCTTACACCCTCTTCAACTTGTACCGGTGGAACAACAAGAAGAAGATAAAGCATGGGAACTGAGAGAGAGAGAGAGAGAGAGAGAGAGAGAGAGAGGCATGGGCGTGTAGTATAAGATTATGATCTTGTGTTCTCTTCCCATGAGCTTAATGATGTATATATAGAGCTACAGTAGGAATCCTTAGGAGATTAGAGAAAGGCTCCTTAATTAATTAAAATACTTGTGGGTCAGTCCACTTATTTTAATTAATTAAATAATATTATTATTGCACTCCCTTTTCCTAGTCCAATTTACAATTGAGACTCCAATAATAATTACTCGATTTATCTCCCCATGTTTAAGATATAATGTCCATTAATTAATTCGATCACTGACAATCAATAATTAATTAATTTAATATTATTTCACCGAAGTTAACGCTCGCTCATAACATTCTCACTATGCCAGAATTTAATCCACCTGCAGGGTTTAGCATAATAATCCTTCATGAACTCACTCTGGGGACATCATCAAACTAACGTACATGGTAACCGTAAATATCCTAACAGCACATTCTATATGAAGCAATATTACCCAAGACAAATGGTCCATTGGCCCAGTGCACTAAGACTCACCCATGTGAATCAAAGTAATAATTACTACACATATATGCATATTTAATATCTTACGGGTTAAGAGTACGCAGTAATTAATTGAGGCCTAGTTCGTTTACAATGATCAGTATAAAATGAACTGCTTGTCTCCGGGATCCCATTCAACACATAAATGTACTAGTGCAACTAATCAGCCAAGACAAACTGTACGGTTGACACTACAACCGTTCTGATGGGGTGATCATGTCCATCTAGGTTATGAACCACAAATTCTTGTTTCACGAGTAACTGATAGAGTGATCTTCTGTTCGCCTGATGACAACCCACGCTATCTAATGCAAAACAACAGAACATAGAACTTGTTTAATCTAACATGTTTCTCATTCATAAAAGGTAAAAGTGTAATAACATCCAAAACCAAGTTTTCAGTATATAACACTAACACGTTCGACCCCGAAAAATCGGGCAGATGGGGCGGCGTCCAGCCGATAGAGTTGAACGCCTTCAGTGAGCGACCGGTAAAGGCGATCGGTCGCCCTTTGGGCCGTCTGCAATCACGGACTGGGCGGCCCGGCCGCGTGCGGTGGACTACCGGACGCGGCCCCAGAATTTAAAAAAAATAATAATAATAATAATAATAACTTGCTATTGAAGAATGTTTTGCCGAGGCCGTAGGATTTTTTCAACATTTCTTTGGAATTTTTTTGAAGCTCAAATGCTCGTTGAAAATAGAGAATTTTGAGAGATAGAGAAAGTAGAGAGAAGTCAATGAAAAATAGGTTAAGGGCAAATTTGTAAAAGGGGGGTGGTACGTAGTAATAGGAGGGCGGAAAATAGCGATTTACGTCCTTCATTCTGTCACGTGATAGAAACAGGGTCTAAGAAAGATTTAAGGTTTATTTATCTAACTAGTAATTATCTCCAGATAATTGGGACTTTAGGAGTGAAGGTACGATGGCTTCCATGAAGGACCAAATCAGTTGTGGTATGTATTTTATTTTGTAAATTAATATAACATTTTTTATTTATTGTTAACAAAAATGATCATGTTATAATAATATATATTTTTTGTAATTCTAGGAAAGTGTGGGGCTTTCACTGCTGCGGTCAGGGTGAAGGGCATCAACCAAATCGTTACGGGACATTTTGTCTTCCTTTCGGAGCAACAACTGATAGACTGTGAAAACAAGTCGAATAGCTACAAAATCGAGAGTCGACCGGACTGGGCTTACTAACTCATCATTCAAAATGAGGGAATCGCGAGGGAGTCTGATTACCCGTACGAAAATCATCACAATCTCACATGCAATAATGACACCAAGCGGGCCGTTATGATATCAGGTTACTTGATGGTCCCACGAAATTACGAGAATGCCATGTTGCAGTCGATGGTTTATCAGTCGTTCTCAGCCGCAGTGGACGCCTCCAGTTTTGGGTTCAGATACTATGGTGGCGTTGTATTCTTTGCAGAAGATTGCGGGACAAATCTGAGTCATCCTGCCACTGTAGTCGGCTATGGTGTGAGGGAGGAAGGAAACCAAATTTTGGGTGCTGAAAAACTCGTGGAGAGAGGGCAGATACATGAGGATAAGACACGTCATGCCTCAAAGGGAAGGAATATGTGGTATAATAATGGATGCCTATTACCCTACTATAGATGTAGGGTCGGCTTTTGGGGCAAGTAGCTAAGGCCCATGCCTAGGGCTTCCATTTATTTTGGGCCTCATATTTTTTAATATTATGCATTTGTATTGGACTTGACTCATTTCGATTTATTAGCATTAAAAAATTATTTGCTTTAAATTTATTAGCCATTAAAAATTAAAATTAGCAGGAATTTAAAGAGTACTAAGCCACAGCCGCTCATGTCGTTACGACGCACACTCAGGTCTTTTCAAAGTTGGATCGAATCTTGTGAGATGCCACCAACAAGTAGATCTCGTGCAACCCAGCAACACCGTCGACCAGTCAGGCATGTCATCATCCAGGACCGTTGTTGAGCTGTGCCGCTCACCTTCGTTTGATGTCGGAGACCCTTCGGTCACAGACTAAATGTTGGCGTGCTATCCCAAGATCGTCGATCCACCGTCAGCCACAGAGCCTTGTTGCCTCGTCCAGCCACCACCATCGAAGGGTGATCTAAATGTATATGTGCAGAATAAATGAATTGATTTCAAAAATTAGAATTTTGTGGGTTGATGCCCTGAGAGGAACTTTTGGTAGTCTGAGTAGAAGAAGAAGAAGAATAAGAAAAGAGGAGAATTTGAATGTTGAAAGTTTGGAACTCGATGTTCTGAAAGATTTCCATATGTATTTTATTAATCGTTTATGTTTGTAAGAACATATAATTGTTTTAGCCATGTATCTAGATCTTGTAATATAAACATGTTAACTATAAATAAACCAAACTTAAACTTAAAGAATCTATAGTTCGTAAATTTACAATAAAAGTCATTTATATAAAATTGTATTTTTTTTCAAGAATTTATCTTATGCAAAATGTTTCAAAAAAAATTGTAATTTATATGTAAATTAGCCGTAATCAACAGCTCAAGGGGCATCTCAGTAAGCAGCAAATGCTTTTATTAGTTTGGCGTCAAGAACTCAACAAATTCAGGCGATAAAGTGTTTTCAACCACAATTGAATCATTTGAAATTTGAACGGACATACAAACGTAACAAGATATAAGAGAGCGAAGACATAAGAGAACGATCCATCCTCACTTCAAGACGACTCTTCCAAATCATTTAAAGCTGGAAAGGTAATGCACATTTCCTCGTAAAAATTCATCCTGTTGTACATATATGATTACAGAAATGAACCATCCACAACTCCGAACACTTTCTAATCAATCACCTTCGCCATACCTCAAAATATACGAAAGCAGTTACCCTGAAATTTCAAAATGGACCCAAAATTGGGACCAGAAACAAACGCGCAATAATTTGGATTTTGCTAACCAGGCAATTACTTCACCGCAGGCAACTCGCAACTTTTTTGAATTATTTACGGTGCCTCCTCTTTCCTTCAGCTCTCTGCCTCTTTTCATCTTCCCACTCCCTGTCATATATTCTGATTATGACAGTTAAGGCATTCGAATATAAAGTTTACGGGTTCCTGTAAATGGTCTGGTAGTCTAAGACCAACACGCTGCTAAATTCATGGGACAAGCAACAAAATAAATTGATAAAGGAAAAAGGAAAAGAAGAACAGCACCAGAAAGAAAGTGCTCCCCCATCCAGCATGGAAAGATTGCATATCATATGTCAAAATCATTTAAACTGCGACTGGGCTTGGACAGTTTTTTCAACGACACAAGTTGTAGCTATCAAAGGTCAAAATATAAAATTAAAGCACATTCAAGCGGTGGGATACTTGTAGCCTCAAGGAATTACTGTAAATATTAGAGAAAACCAGATATATTGGTAATTTGATTATGTAATTCATCCAAAAAATATAGAACATATATGACCTACAAAACTGCATTTTCCAAATGAAATCGATAGATTAAAAACATATGGTAAAAGGATACGGATCAACATCACGTCGAGCCGTCTTGCTGGCCGCCTCTTTGCTGTGGGCCCTCGTCCCAGGCTCCTCTGCATAAGCAGGACGTTGGGCAATAACCCCCTTACGATCACCCCTACCATCTCTTGCATCGTGTGACAAATTGATCGAAAGAGGGGGAGGGCCCGCTGGTAAATATTCGCCAGGTTCTGATGCTATATGCTCCCTTTTGAGTTTCCGCCTCTTGGAGGCATTATCCATATCCTCCTTGTTCATGTTTCCTTTATCCCTCTCCCTCTCATCCATCTACATGTAAAATTCAAAACTGTTAGAAAAAGATGTAAAACTGTGATGAGTAGTTTGTTACTACCACAGAAAGTTCTTCCTCCCAAAAAAGTAATAATTAACACAATCTCTCAACAAGGAAAGCCTTTGGTCGTAACCTCAATGTAAAAAGCAATTAACGGAATGTCTTATGAGTTCAAACATCTATTGATAATCAGAGGCCGAACAATCAATGGCCGGCAACCCTTATACCTCAACCCGTCAGTTATCATTATCCCCGACAATTAAATTGATTACACGTGCACGAACAAAAGACAGCAATCAGGTGGTTGAGGCATGACCAGTACCGTAATGTGGATTTAATTATTCCTACTTTTTTTCCCACCCGATGCAATATAAAACTCGAAACTGGAGAACAGCACAACACAGACCAAAAAAAAAAACAATTTAAATTATTGAAGTCGTGAACTGATAGCAATTTTCTGGTACCTTGACAGGGGCAACGGCATCACGTTCGTCGCGCTTCCTACTATCTCGAAGTTCATCTTCTCTCCGCCGTTTCATGTCGTCTAGTGGAGCAGCAGAAGCATTCTCTTCAGATCTCCTCCTCTCTCTATCCTCATGCCTCGGCGAAAGTTTTTGTGCGTGCCTGGCGTTCCCAAACCGCCTGTCGCTGTCGTCATCCCTCCTCCCGGAGCCTAGGGACTGCGGGATCACGTGAGGTGGCAATGGAGGCGGTGGTGGCAAGCTCTGCCCGTGAAATCTCTCGTCCGCGTCACTGTATCGCGTTTTACCACGGTCATCTTTGTTTCTTTCGTCCTTTGTCACCCTATCAACAGAGCGTTCCTGACCATGCCTCTCGAGCGACCTATCCCTTGTTTTTTCAGATAAAACATCGTCACCGCGCGATTTTTCAGGACGCTCCAATCTTTCCCTATGGTCCCTATCGTATCTTTCGCCGGTCTTTTCTTTTGCTCTGTCCAGTGGCTTGTCCACAGGCCTCTGCTCATCAGAAGCAGTTTTGTCGTGTGCACGCATGTCTGTTGACCTCTCCTTTTCAGACAATCGTATGTCAACACCATCCACGTCCCTCCAGTCAGTAGTTTCACTCTTCCGGCGTTTGTTCAGCCGGTCGTGTTCTTCGGCCGGACTGGACCTCTTTTGTGATTTCTCGACGGACTTGGATGGTAAAGGGGGAGAATGAGCGGACCTAGAAGTTGGATGTTTGAGCGAATCCGGATATTCAGTTCCCTCATCTTTCCCACCATGGACCCTCGAGTCGGTAGACCTTGTGTTGCCGGCCTCTGATTTTGCTTCGGCGCTGTGATCTGAGGATCGGGTGGAAGAGTTTGGTAATTTAGCTTGTGCAGTAACCATGGCGGAATTCCCTGGAGGTCGAAAAGAAACCTGAGTAAAATTGTCCAGTCATCTGTCGTGAATATAATGAGGAAAAAGGAGTTTCTACCAGAAGAGCCGGAAGTTCGGACAACAGCTTTCCCAGATTTATCCTCGTCTCTGGATATATCCGTCTTTGCCTGCTTTGTATGGGATGAGGCCGCAGCAGACCTTTTCACTGTGGGCCTTGCCTGAGTTAAAAGACAGAATTAAATCACAGTGTAAAAGAAAGTGAAAACCGGCATAATGTGGATAGATAAGATAACAGATCACATATAAGAAGTATACCATGAAATGTGCAAGAATTTTGCTAGGATTTTTTAAGATGGGAGCAACAAAGAGTACAATTGAAGTGTTCATCAGATTTTGGTAACACTTAGTACACTACTTAGATTGACAAAAAGATGAACCAGACAGGAATCGTTCGCTTTGTAATCCATGGCCCTAAAACTATAGAAGGGGAGCAGAGTATTTAAGAAGTGATGGTTCATGACACACTTCAGCAAATTCATTATACAAACTGAAGCATCGACTAAACCTCAACCAATGATGTAAATCCAAATGAAAACAATTGTAACATATGAAAAAGGAAAATGTTCAGAAGCCCACAATATAACAAAATAAAAACACCATAACATATAATCTTCCCTCATCCTATAGTTGGCATTTTTCAAGAAGGTCCCTTCCGAAATTAATTTATTATCCTCATGACAATACGGCATCTATTTGACTTACAAATCATGAAATATGCATCCACGATTTAAGAGATAAATACTTGAAACCACCTCATTTCTACATAACTTTAATCATACAGAAAATACATATTATGACATTGAAATCTAGAGGCAGCTAAACAGATTAATCTTAAATTTAAAAACATTATCAGGGGGAGGGTGTTTGAACACAAATCCAAAATTGATTAATCACTACCTCAGCTTCCACAGATGTCTTTGAGGCAACTTTCGTGTTTTCTTCTAACTGTTTGCTGGCCAGATTATCCACCTGTTTATGATTGTCTGGGCGCGACATTCCAGATTGTACACCCGTCGACAGTAAAGAAGATCAGACCCATTAATAGATCCAACTTTCAATTTCAATTTTAAGATGGCTCAAATGTCAGCAAGATATTTCCTACTCTTCTTACCATCAGTTCTTCTAGGCTCTCTGCCCAAATTCCCATGATCTGACAAGCTTCCCAAGGTAGCAGTTCTACCGCCAACCTGCTCAACTTGAGAAGAACTAGGACCAGCCCCATTCTGAAGAACACCAACATTTGCAGATAAAGGCTTAGAAACAGGCACTGGAGCAGGCTTCAAGTCCAGATAACCCATGCCAAATTCCTCATCTGTAACCCATGAAGGCTGCCAATACCATAGATCCCAAGGAAATCAGAATACATATCTCCAAAGGAAACAAATACATGGATACATCTATACTGCTCATAGAATATGGTGGCCAGATAGCAATGATCTGAAGCATACCCCACTAACAACCAGATATTTCAGTTTCACAAAAACACTTTACTGTGCTTGGACAAGCAATCCATAAAATATTAGAAATAAAACTAAAAGATGGTGTTCCTTGAGAACTAAGAACTAAAAGAGTGACCATTACTAGCAAAGATATCGACTGAATTGCCGATGATTTAACAAAGAAAACAAAGAAAAGATAAATCTTGAACAATCCATTATAATTTACCTTTTTAGCAGCCAATGCTGCAGCAACACCAGTGGCCAAAACTTTGAGGTCTTCCCTTTCATCACTTTTAATTTTAGCCACCTGTGCACAGTGAAGAAAACTAGGCTTTAGTCAAAGCGCAAATCATGGACAAGTCAATGACAAAAACACCAGTCATAAACTTTACCCGTTTTTCAAGGTTGATCCCACTCTTCCGAGTAACAGGGAAAACACTTGAGATTTTAGTAAGCATAATAAGAGCATTTCTTATCTCCATATACTCGGTCGATTCCAAACACTGAATCAGCAGTCTAGTGATTCGTTGGCTCCACTTCCAATGTACCTTCAAAAAAGAAAAAAAAAAATTTGTAGTAAACAAATTGAGAGAAAACGATAGCACCAGCTCTAACGGGCATAAAATCAAATCCTCATCTTGACTGATAGACAACGTCTGTCACATGTTAAACCAGAAAAATGATGGTCAAACTTTGCTAACATATGCATCTGCTACAAACCACCAGTAATTTTAAATATGCAGGTGATCAAGTTCGGTCCAACAAAAATATATCGCCGAGAATAGCACATGAAAAGTTCCAAAATGTTCCCCATTTCAAGATCTGATTAGCTTTCATTCTGGATCATATTCATTAACTAAAATACAATAAAACTAGTGATGGTATACCATATCGATATGAGTAAAATACTTCCATTATATTTATATATACGGGGAAACGGGGTATACAGTCCCATAGGGGCGAAGAAAACCTTAAGAGGGTGAGCATAGTTGCCACCTTCGTAAGGTTCCATCATAAAACCAAGTGATGGTAGGAGGAGTAGCCCACTAGGCTAAGCCAGACTCGTTATCTGTTTAATGTGGGACAACTCACAAGTCATATTCCAACTTCTTATATACAAATCCAAAGTTCAGATAACAAACACATACCACAGATTACTAACATCATTCAAAATAGATGGGCTTGTGTGCTTGCACTTAGAAAAGGGACATGGATGAAATTGCAGAATACAACGAAACTTTTTCTCCAAGGTCTCTTTAAAATAATTAAGAAAATGTATCAAGCTGACCAACAATCATTTAGTAGTATTAGAAAATCACAATCCGAGTCAAGGAAAAAACACATTTCTATCCAGTACATGCAATATAATAAGGAAAAACAATTGAAGAAATAAACCATCCAACGCAAAAACAAACAAACAAATAAAAAAGAACTTGCAAGGACACCAAGAAGTAATGTAGTGGCACTTAATTTTACTACTTCAAACCTCATATAAGATTACACATAGAATGCAAATGACATAAAAGTTGCTCATAATTGCATAAGGATGTCGGAAGCAAAAAAGTATAACACATTAAACCAATTAATTAAGTTAAATTCAGAAACCGTAGGCATAAAACAGGCAAAACATCTGAAATTAAACTTGAAAATGGCGCAAAGCAAAGGTATGATAATATCAATGGTGCGGAAAAATAATTGGAGCATAGAAGATAACATCCAAAAGATAGTATAAACCAAAGTGAAAAGATTAATTCTGCCCATCTAGGTATGAAATCTTGTCTACAGATGGAACAATTTTGTTTATTAAATGAAGGACTCACACCTTCTAGGTGTATATTTGAAAGCATGAAGTCAAAACTTATGAGATCAATACCAATTTCATTAGGAGTGATAAATGAAGACCATAAAGTAATAAACTACATGACTAATAAATTCTCACTTATCCAATAACTACCTTGATAAATTGACCATAGGTTACACGCTGGCTGTTTGGATATCTGTAATATACAGCAAATCCTGGCATGTTTCCACACTCCTTCTCATATATTGATTCATCGCTCTACAGAGAAAAGTTTTAGTTACAAGCACATTATACCATAAATATCAATAACCAAAAAAAAAAAAAACATACAAGTGTGTGTTCTACACAAAAAATCTCTAGATGGAGCCCCAGACAAATGAACGTCAAAGAAGATTAAAACAGCATGCCAATTACCTTCCAATGATAAGCAGTTTTCAGAGTCTCAAATAAAAATCTCCCAAGACGGCCGACTTCATACTCAGTGCAGCAGCATATCATTGGTTGCAAAGTTTTACATATCAGAACATCAATGTGGTTCACGGTGTTGAAGAATGGAGTCCCCAGTGAATGTAGTGTATTTACAAAATTGGCGCAATATACAGCATCAGGCATACTGAACATGCAACGAGGAAATATACAGCGCTGAAGAAACTCCATGTTAATTTTTAAAGTATCTGGGCAAGAACTCAACCATGTATCCTTCTCATGAGCAAGTCGACGACGCACAGACTCAACGTGTTCTTCATGCTTCTGAAATTCCAGTGTCAATCTATCCAGAGATTCTTGAATTCTTTCTTTTTCCTTTTTCCTTTTAGCAATTGCTGAACTAGAATTATCTGGCAGTTCTTCCAGAGCTTTAAGAGAAGCATGCAGCTTTGCAATCTCAGATTGATACCGACTTCTAGGAACATAGAGATCATATAATGTAAGACCCCAGAATGTTGCATATAAATCAGGAGACAAGCTATTCCATGCTTTTGGAGGCAACATTGTCTTAACAGTATCAAGAAGATTGAACCATCTGCACATGAAGTTTCAAAGATTGAGACTTAAAAAGCTGGTAACCAGATTGCTGATAAAGATAACCAAACTTAAAAGAAAATTAAATGGTGAAATGTGTTGAAGGAATACGAGATGGGCTGGCGAGAAGATCCCAAGTCCAAAACCAATGTGGTGGATAAAGCTGAAGATTCACTTTCACAAGCTGCAGGGTTCACATCTTCATTACAGTGTAAAGGCCAAAAGGAGGTTGAAGCATTTTGACACCTGAAGAGCCTCATCACTGGCCGATATATTAAAAAAGCAACCTAAACAAATGGAACAAGGACAAAAGTTCTAAGCACCACACATCCAATATTTGCTTTTAACATACATTCTTTAATTGCAACGAATAATAAAACAGTGCTTGCTTGGAAGAATCAAACAGCAGAAATTAGTGCAACCTCAGGATCAAGATGATAAAGATGGACAAGTTCATCAAGAGTGGGAACCAGCAAAGCATAAGCTGATGTGGGCGTCACTGCACTACAAAGAAATTCCACATACTGAAGAAGAGTTCCATGGCATCTGTCAAACTGTTCACAGACCATCTTGATATATGGCACATCAGCTTCAATGACAACCCTAAACAGAAAAAGCAGTTTCAAAATCCAAATTCGCTTCCAAATTGATGCATCATATTCATATCCATAAGAGGACATATCACCAATTAAGTTATTAAGTGAAATTACCATGTCTGATGTATTGTACATCAAAGAAAATTAACTTCATCACTTTTTTCAAAAATAAAAAATAAGAAATAGTGAAATACAGACACAAATCCACCATGATAAAACCAACTGCTAATTTTTCTACTAACAACAGAAGATCTTACACAGAACGATGCTGGGCAATCAGAAGTAAAAGGGGAATCGCCAATTTGGGTTCTTCCTTTGGAAGTAAAGAATCTCTAAGTCTGTTGGTAGACTTAATCAATGCCTGAAAGATGCAGAGAAACCCAAAACATAAGCACTTGAAAATTCATGAGCGCCGTGAAACTAAGATGACAATTTTGCACACATATTGAAGCTGATAGATGGAATTGTTTTACTCATAAATTATATGTTGGACTATCCAAATTCTCAGAGTTACAGAATAAAATTCTCAAATATTAAAACCACTTATGTGTAGATGATGGTTTTCTTCAGAGTTAGGAGAAGATTCCAAGCCAACTCCATAAATGAGCTACAGCAATATGACGCCGCACACTATTACACAGAATATACATCAGATTGCACGAAAATGGAAAAGATCATTAAAGAGTTATAATCTCTATGGCAAAAAAATGAAACTATCTCTCCTGCTCTAATCACTATCTCCCTGAGAGGAACAAATGTAGAATGTGAAACATAAGAAGATACTAAACATAGAAAATCAATGAATCTGACTCTTGCATACAGTGTATCGTAATCTGTTGACAGGAGAGATTACGAAACAATTCAAAAGGTGTTAGGAAATTTTCTATATCGTAAAAGGTGATGCACAGAGAACCATCAGCCAATTTTTTTTTTTTAAGCATAATTTCTCCTTATTAGGCTAATATGCACAGAGACAAAAAACAATGGTGTTCTCCTTTAGGCTAATATGTAATAAAAAAAATAATGACGAATGTAGATAAAGAAACACAAAAATCACACGAGAAGTCGCATATGCAATAGAAGGTATTTCTACACCAACAGTTAAAACTAAATGAATTATCTGCTGATCGCCCAGTTGAAGTTGTTTTATATTACACTTGAATTCAAATATTAGAGCAACACTATTCTAAACCCAGACTCCAAAGAAGCAAGAGTAAGAAATTCAATCTACTCGGTTGTCGCAGCAGTTATCTTTCTGATTCAAATAATCCTGTTTTATGTAACCCTCCATCATAAAAATTACTCAAAAATTAAAACTCCGCCTGTGTGTAGGGACGAAGGAGGTCCATCAGACGTATCTTGCTTTAATTTTCTGTATTTTACCACCATAAGGTAATTGCATGATTGAGAGATTGTACGTTCAAAAGAACCTTGTTATTCCTCGTAACACCAAATGATGTAGCCTGGTAACGGAGCATGTCACTTCCTGCCATGGCATCCAATTGATCTTCTGTCATGTTTTCAGTATACAGGACATTAGCCATCTGCTGTATAAGTTCCTACAGAGCATCAAGGAAAAATTACATGCACAAATATTAGTAACAACTAACAAATAAAACAAATCTATCTAACACATTTAGATCATATAAAGCATCACCAGAAATAAATATAAAAAATACTTTTACACAAAGGTGAAAAGGTTCGTAATATACACAACCTGCAAGAGAACAAGCTCGATCCCATTCCCTTTCTTCAATTGGTTTACGAGATACTGGAAGAGCCCTCGGAGTTCCATCGATGGGTACTTTTTACATCTAGAAACAATAGCATGCCCCAACAAACACGTGTCATAGATCGAAATATGATCCAACAGAAACTCAAATAAACAGCCAAAAGCATCACTTTGGCCGATGTTATCAACCGACCTGGACTTAAATAGGATCTCACCAGATGTTACAAGCATTTTAAATTCAATGAACATGCATTCATAAATTCATCAATATTCCTCTACATCCTAAGTTCCAAATCACAAATATGCTTTATTTAGCAATTAGTATCATGTTTTCCATTAGAAACTAGTATTTCGAGAACTTTTCATACAACTTCATGGCGGTGAAAGCAAGCTCATAAGAAAATAAGCTTAAGAGTGACTGGGCATTTGAAATGTAACAATAAGTTTATTTGATATCGACGTAATATTGGAATGATTAGTAATTAGAAATTTGTATAAAGGTGAATAAGAGAATGTGTAGGCAATGTGCAACAATAATACTGTTATTATGTTTTCTTATCGAAAAATTGAATGGAGGTAATCCATGGAGTAAAACATAAAAAAGTGTAAATAATATATTTTCTCAAAATCTAAACAACCAACCACACTTTGGAGTTAAAAAGAATTTCATTGGAACCAAAAAAAAAATGAATATTTCCTTTTGTTGTTATGCAATCGCTTATCCAAATATTCTAGCCCATTGAAGGTTTTAAAATTTTCAATAGGCCCTCCGCTCAATGGAATCATAAGGTTACAGCATTTATGCTTCAGGTGATAGTTGAGCCAAATTATAACAATGTACCACATCTGAAAAGTGTTGCAGGTATTTCATAGCGAGACCAGGTAATATTGATGTCTTTCGGTCAGACAATCACCTTCAACACTGTAAAACATCTCTAAGATATATGTGACATCCTATAGTCTAAATTCAAGGATCCAAGCTCTAGGAGTGGACTCCTACATTATAAGACTCAATAACAAGGATTTATTCTTCACCCAAAATGTATTAACTTTAACTATTAGCATCCTACTGAAAGGCAATCCTGATATGGACCAAATTAGACTAATCAGCAAATCATTTACAAGAGCTGAGCAAATTTATCAATCATTTCCAAAAATATACATTACCCAAAGGCAAAATTAAAAGAACGCCTAAAACAATATAGACTAACACCAATTGAAAAAAAAACACTTCTAGTACAAAAGTATAATATTCCAAGGAATATACTTCTCTTCCATCCACTTCAAGCAACAAGAGTAAACATGAAAGATAGTCGTAATAAGTATTTTGATGCAAAGGTCAATCCAGACACTAATAAAAAATGCATAATATTCACATTTATGCATTTTTTTGCTTAGAACAACCAGGAAATCAAATACTGACTCTAGAGACAGAAAAACTAGCAAAAAATGGAAAAGTGTCCCAGAAAAAGGTAACTGATGAAATCATCTAGACTATTTATTTTTTATATGGAACAGTAATCTTGTACACAGTGGTTATCAGACATCTAGCTGAACATAAATGTTATAACTTACTAGCCATGACACATTGTCCAAGCTTCGGTTAAATGCCCTCAGTCACCTTATGTTCAGTTGAATATGTAACTTGGGAGCTTTAGTGGATGAAACACAAGCAAACAAGTTCACTGAATCTCCAAGGCACCAAAGCCAAAAGAAAACTGAACTGATGTTCCCAGGTAACCTCAAGAAGAAAAGATGCATGGCCAATATGAACCCAAATATAAACTGATCGTTCACTGGATTGGATTGGTACACCACTCCTGATTCTAACAACTCCAAAGCATCACCTTGAGAAATGTTGAAATTGTTTGCCAAGCACGACCCTTAGTTGAGATCAGATCATCAATGGAACAAAATCAACAATGAACTACTATGGCATACGTTTTCAATGCCAAATCTGAGAAACTTAGGCAATCGAATTCTAAGAGGGCTTCCAAGTTAATGACAACTATTCATAACCTTCAATAAATGGAACATCTGAACTCCTCATATGTGACACATATCAAGCTATCCAAGTACTACGAAATTGAACAGAATATGGTATTGATGGTCACAGTTTCCCCATAATTATCTTTCTTTCAATACCCACCATATGACTCCAGTTAGGATAGTGTCTCACTGGATTAATAACTTGGTCCTAGTTTCCATGCAATAACTTTGGCAACAACAATGGCCACCAATCCTTTAAAGAATAATTCAGAACATGATCGAACTTGTTCATCTAACAAGTCAATAGATCTTGCACCCCAGCAATCAAGTGGAGCTATGCTTATTTTTCAATGTTAAAGATGCCCACACGCCAATATGACTTCGTAATTCACGTCCATCATCAGCAATTATGAGTATGCTTTTGTGGATCTCTTCAACGAATCAAAAGTTGCTAACACCTCAAACTTTCTTAAAACAACAGATCAGGACATCAAGAATCAAGAAAGAATCTGCATAGGCAGGAAAGCTCTAAGGCGATGTCCTTGACTCCTTGCCCCCTCAAACTGGCCTCTTTATTCCCGAAGACAAGAGCATCTTAACTCAGAGGTATCTTATTTCTCTTGCCCAGCATAAGAGTGCATGGGATAAAGGCAAACCAATGAGCTAAGCAATCCCAATCACAGGTGTTCCAGTAACCAGCTTCATCGGAAAATAAGCAGCACCGCAAACTTGATTAGAAAATCTCGTGGAATCTAAGTTACTGAAATGACTGATGACCGATGACTGTTAGTAACTAAATTCCTTCATACTTTAAGAAGACCAAAATACCCTTGATGGTGACATTCAGAAAGCAAACAAAAAGTACCCAACCACCCTGGAGAAACATATTACAAAGAAACATAAAAGAGGTAAAAAAAAAAAATTAAAACAGAACACTGCAATTCTTATGAAATATGAAGCCCTAAACCCACTCCATATTTTTCCAGCAACATTAAATAAAAAATATGATCCAAACAGAAATGCATCACATGCTCAATGAAAGGAAGCAACTCAGAGCAATCAAATCAAGGTTTATCATGAGAAAAAGATTCATACAAGTGACCCCAGAATGAAGCTAGTGATTGGAGCCAGTCTGACAAATTAAGACCATCATCTTTAAGCTTCTCGCGTCCACCTTGAGCCAAGCGTTCAATCACAACGTACTCCAAGACATCGTATTCAAGCTGTATGTATATGTGCATTTAGGCATAGCAGTAAAATCAAACAAGCACATCAACATAAAAAATAAATAAATAAATAAATAAATAATAATAATAGTAATAACTAAAAAATGTAGAATGTTACAACTCAATCGTGATGCAAATTATACAGTCCCTCTTTGTTTGTATAGTCCATAAAGATGGATAAAGCATACAAGTAATGGTTTGGCAAATGATTAAACAGGACATAACTTTTCTATCTCATTAGCGAAAGTCTTCATAGATTCAAGTTGCAGAAACATATATGAAAAGCGGAATGATGGATAAGTCAAAGCAACAAGTGGATGATAGACCTGTGTCAGATACTTGAATGCATCAACTACCGGAGCAATCATATCCCTGTAAGCCTCTATCTGTAGAGAAAATTAATAAAATATTATATTTCCTTTTTTTAAAACCAATTATAAGAGAAGTAATCTAGTCTACTATCTACATAAATTACCTGGTGAACAATTGTCCGAAGAACTGTCATGGGATTTGCATGAGCTAATTTAGCAACCATTCTTCCAAGCTGCTTCAGATTTTCCTTTGCGAGCCGTTTTAAAATCCTTCGGGTATCCAACTGCAGAACACCAATATATTACAAATGTTTTTACAAATGTGCAAAGCAAAGTCCTATAAACAAGTAGTACCCTGGCTGTCTGTCTAGCCGCCAAGATCATTGGAAATTGTTCTTCATCCTTTTCCCATTCACCATATAAACGATAGCGCACCTAATAGAACAAGTAAAATATCATAGTTAAGCAAAATTGATCCTAAGCAGGCACGAAAATGACAAGCTTTCAGCAGTAACCTCATAGGGAAGGAGACTCAGTAATTCCCATATCTCCTGGCCAACAGCAGGGTTTGCAGGTATTAACTGCAAGGACGGAAGAAGGCATGCCCCAAGCGCTTCCTCGATTCTTAATCTTGCATCCTTAAAATGAAGGCGTGGATTTCTATCTCCCACTGTAACAGAATGAGAACTAAATGCCCCATCACCATCTCTTACAAGCTCCAATGCGCTAAGATAATAAGCCCTCAAAACTCTAGTTGTCTGTAAAGCATACGCACTATGGTCAATTAAATATACAATTACCAAAAAGTAACTGCAAAGGTTTATAAACCGATTATAGCAGACCTTCTGCAGCAACAAAGTGTCACGATATAGATAAGGTCCAACAGCAGCAAGCATTTCAAACAGTTCCGTGGGCAGATTAACAAACGATTTTAGTGACGTAGCTGCAGTCTCCAAATTGGCACCAGCAGTTGAAAATTGTGTATCGCACACTGATCTATAAGCTAACAAAATCGCTTTCTCAATAAGCCTGGATTATGAACACAAGAAATTGCAACATATGTATTGTTAATTTAATCCATCGAATCAAAGCACCCACAGGAAGGTAACGAGTAGGAAAGCATAAAAGAATTATTTCAAGAAAAAGTAGTCATTGACAGTTAAACAACAAAATTTTATTGCATTTAAGTAGTCAGCCTTACGCTCTTACCTAAACACACCACCACAAATTTTAATATGTTCGACTGGATTGAGGGGTGAGAGCCGCTGCAATAGTTGATGAGCATGAAGCCTGAGACATCAAATGCATACATATAATTCCAGAAACTTGGTAATCCTTTAGATTTGTTAATGAACACGGCGGCATTGCGGAGGTGAGACCAAATCAATGATATTTTAGGAGTGAAGAAAAAACAAGATTCGGAGGAGACAGAAGATATTTACATCCCATCTGACACATTTCTTCTTTCTTTATTCCTTTTCCAGATAAGGAATTTTTCTTTTTTAGGATGGGGGTGGGGTGGTTTGGGGGGGGAGG